AAATGACCTTGAAAATACATTATTTACATTATTCGGACTATTGTCCTCATCTTTGTCGCCATATTTATTACAACGTTTCGGCCATTGTACGCTCCGGCCTTCTTCAGTTGGTTGGAATGTCGAACTGAACCCTTTATTTCGCTCACTCGGGTAGACTGTTCTAGTTCCACGTGCCATGTTTTAATGGATGTCAGTTATCAGTTATCTCCTGTTAATTTCCCTCTGAAAGTTCTCCACTGCCTTAATCGGGTATTGAACTCACACTCTTTGGGTCCTGTCACTGGATCTAACAAACGCCTTTATCCACTGTGCCATGTGTCCTTGAGGAGATAACTGATAACTGACATCCATTAAACATGGCACGTGGAACTAGAACAGTCTACCCTAGTGATCGAAATAAATGGTTCAGTTCGACATTCCAACCACCTGAAGAAGGTCGGAGCGTACAACAGCCGAAACGTTGTGATAAACATGTCGACAAAGATGAGGACAATAGTCCAAATAATGTAAATAGTGTACATAATACCTTATCTCATGTCGTTTATTATAATAGGAGTATATTTATTATGATAGGAGTATATCATTTATTATGATAGGAGCATGTCATGAGGAGTAAGACATTTATCATGTCTGCAAAATTGCCAATGCCGAAATCGTCTACATCTTCGAGTATCTTAATTATCATTTCATCTGTTCCTTCTACCTTGTACCCGTTTCATTCTGACCAGTGCCCATTCAACTTCAGATTTTAATACTTCGCATCTTTCCATAGTGTTGTATATTGCAGATTTTAATTCTGTCGCCGTGGAAGAGCAATCCGAAGTATTCGTTAAATTGATGTGCAACCTGACACACTTGCAAGCCATTGTACGTGTATTTGTTTTTGACAGGTTATTCCATGAATGAGCATATTGAAGAAAATTATCATACCAATATAAGCAAACGCCCTACGGTTATCGAAGGAGATGTAATTTCTGAAAAGGTCAATATAGATAAAGGATGTGGGATTGTCAGACAAGTGCCCGTTCAAGTAGGCGGTTAGGTTGAGAGATCAACGAAGAATATCGTGCGCTTCTGATAATTTTTATTTTTGCTTTACTTTCGGTTATCTCCCCCACCCACTGCCGCCACTATGGTAAAGAATTGAGATTCTATTTAAAGATCAGGCCTTATCACCACAAACTGAACTTACATCGTAACTGCTACTGGTCTGGTGGTGGTCCCGATGGTGGCAATACAAGTTGGGTATATTATATGTTTCGTGGCCTTATCGTGTATCTCTCGAGATCGGGTCGATAGTTGATTTTATGGCATCCAAACCACGTGTCAGTTTCACATTCAGCGCCTTAGATCCTGTCATTCTCACGTGTGGGCTGATAAATATCTTTTTTTTATTTTTTGTAATCAGGTTGATTACGAGGTCTTGGCTTTATTTGCAAATCCGAACTTGGAATGACAGAAGCAGAAGATTGTGTAGCGCTAATCTTTACCTGTCATTGAAAAACAAAAATCGGTATTGGTGCTGAGCTTACGTATTAATCAAGGTTAAGCACCGACCATTGATGTTTCAGGACCCCATACACCGAGCAGGCATTTTCTGCATATATATATATATATATATATATAGAGAGAGAGAGAGATAGATAGATATAGATATAGATTCTTTGCATATATATATATATATATATATATATTCTTTTGCATATATATATATATATATATATATATATATATATATATATATTCTTTTGCATTTATATATATATATTCTTTGCATATATATATATATTTTTGCATATATATATATATATATATATTCTTTGCATATATATATATATATATATATATATATATATATATATATATTCTTTGCATACATACTTATATATGCGGAGGGTCGTTTGGGGACCTTGTGGCAGTTAGTGTACCAGGTCTCTGTATTTGGCCCTTTAAAAGTGTGGATGTTCCTGCACGAAACCTTCACCACTATAATCAAATCTCATGTGCTGTTGTCGAAATGTCGGTTTCCCTATGAACTGATCTGCTTGAAACTCATACGTCGAATTCAACGGGAGAGTCGAGTATATATATATATATATATATATATATATAGATAGATAGATAATATTAGTGGTAAATATACATACATATGCAATATTATCAAGTGTGTTTGTTTATTATGTCTATTTATTTGAGTTTTTATATTTTAAAATATCACATAAGTTACCTCCTTTGCATAGAGGTAAAAATATCTTGAATTTAATGCATCCATAGATATGCAACACGTTGGAAATGGTCTCAGATGAGATTGAAAGTACTTGGGAGAATAAAAATTATTAGAAAAAAAAAATCTTTGAATTTTCCTTAACCAATTTTCTACAGCCACCAAGAAATTAATTCATAAACTTGAAAGGATTAAAATAAAAATTAAGAAACATGACAGAAGTAGAGTTTGGCCCGAGAATATGAAGATAGTGTAGCGCTAATCATTACCTGTTGTTGAAAAACAAAAATCGGTATTGGAGCTGATCCTACCTATTAATCAGGTTCAAGCATCGGCTATTGACGTTTCCAGGGCAACAGCCACCGACCAAACTTTTCTTTACACACACACACACACACACACATATATATATATATATTGGGGGAAACAAATATTCGTACACATATAAATTTTTAATTTATTGTATTTCCAACTAATGAATAAACATACTTTTCATATAACTGTAAACAAATGCATAATGACTAAATATGCACAGACAACAGAAAAAATTGATTTAATAGAAATAAATCTCATTTATCCATTTTGATGGGTGATAAAGTATTCGTACAATGCAAATTTAGGATTAAAAAAAATAAATTGCTTTAATACTCTAGATTATTCAAATGGAATATTCTAGAATGTTCCAATAATGTTATCAGGAGTTATTTTTAACTTAAAAAAATACAAACAAAACGTTCTGTAATTGATATTCGCGCAAGAAGGTTTTCATCATGATAAGAGGAAAGAATTAAAAAATTCGCAAAAGGAACTGATTGTTAAGCTCTGGAAAGAATATAATAATTACAAGAGAATCTCAGACAATCTGAATATTCCATTTATACCATTAGTTCATTCATTGAAAGCTATAAAAACTCCAAACTTTATATTATATATTAAATAACAGGAAGTTATGAATTTAACCATTTTTAAAAATTAAAATCATTTACATTTCCTTGCTAAAATCTATCAAAGGATGAAACTCGTCGGCTATGATAAGATTTCCTTCTTTCTTTTCTCTCTCTCTCTCTTTCTCTCTCTCTCTCTCTCCCTATATATATATATATATATATATATATATATATATATATATATATATATAAACAAGTTTGATTAAAAAGAACCAAGGTCTATCTGTTTATTTTTTTTATTGCATTTATCCAATTTTAAGTATAAGTATTACCTGTTTGTGACTGGTAGGGATAATTCCTAGGAGGATATTAATCCAAGGAGAATACAATGTAGACTACAGAGCATGTAATAATAATAATAATAATAATAATAATAATAATAATACTTAATACTTCTCGTTTTCACTCTTGTGTGACGTTACGAACTGCGGTGAGATTTTCGCTTCCGCGTCTCGTAAACACGAGTTTGTCGTTCCTTGTAAATCTTTCATGCAACAAAACAGACTATCATTATTGTTTTGTCCGTGTACTGTTTAATATAATGAAATGTAATTGTCACCTCTGATAATGGCTTATGTAAGCCGAAAGCTTAAATAGGATTAAAAAACATGTATCAATATGATGATTTTCTTTCATCTTTCAATGATAATGTCATTAAGCATATCAGACAATATAAAAGGAATTTACTTAAAATAAATAGACAAAACATGTCTATATTATTTAATGAAAAATGCATCAACACACACACACACACACACACACACACACACACACACACACACATATATATATATAGCCACATTTTTGTTGAGTTTCAGGCATCCGATTTCTGCGATGTCAGCGGTATTCCATTTATGTAAAAGTTTTTAATAATATGCTTAATATATTTTATGGTTTTTTTTCTGGGCATTCGTGTTGTTAATTTCTGAGGCCAAATGTCTCTCGGCCAAATGTCCGTCGGCCTAAAGTTCGTTGGTTAAATGTCTGTCGGCCAAATATACGGCCACGTCAACTCCCAATAATCCTTTGCGTCTTAGTGGCATTACCGCCTTGCTTGGGATGTGATATAATAGAATATGCATACACCTGTGTTCCCCCTCACTGAAATATGATTGGCTGGTGTCCGTCATAAATACTGAAGGAAATGTAGGAGAGTCAAGAGCCTTAGTCTGAGAGCTAAGTCTATAACAACGCCCATTGGACTACGCCATTGATCTACACTTCTTACCTGCAACTACGACGCGTACCAGTCGATTACTGCTACCGTATTCTACTTGGTTATAGTAGCCAAAAACCACTTAGCTACTTCATTCAAATATACCCCTTTCCCGGACATACCAGGATGAAATGATTAAAAAAGTATTGAATTAATGTATACCTACTTGCCGGCTGTTATTTTGTAAAATATTACAGTTGATTAGAGCTCCAAGATTAGGAATACCTTAAACATTTTGGAAGGTCATATTGGAATACTTAAGGATCTTATCTAAATAGCTAAACTTAATTATCGAAATAGTTGCCAAGGGCACTGAATACCCACTTTTATAGAAATCTCCATAATTATGCAGTCTCACAGAAGCAGAAACGAATATCCTACCAGAAGAATAAACCGGAAGTGGTGAGCAGTGTTCGGCTTGGTTGGTGTAAAGTAATAAGACATGCAAAGTTGATGGATTGACGTATTTCATTCAATCTGATGTCAGGGGCTTCCTTAATTCTGCTGCACTCTGCGACAGGTCAAGAACTGTGCACCTGAGACACAACACAACAGACATTTCTCATTTGTCCCTGTCACATTACACTTGCAATGAAAGGATAATATTTGCACAATGAATAGAATTGATGATTCAATCAGAAAATTAATTTATCACGTGTTCATATCTATCGATATCATCTTGCATCTATCTATCTATCTATCTATCTATTCGTCTTCATATCTATCGATATCATCTTGCTTCTATCTCTCTATCTATCTATCTATCTATCTGTCTATTCGTCTTCATATCTATCGATATCATCTTGCTTCTATCTATCTATCTATCTATCTATCTATCTATTCGTGTTCATATCTATCGATATCATCTTGCTTCTATCTATCTATCTATCTATCTATCTATCTATCTATCTATCTATTCGTGTTCATATCTATCGATATCATCTTGCATCTATCTATCTATCTATCTATCTATCTATCTATCTATCTATTCGTCTTCATATCTATCGATATCATCTTGCTTCTATCTATCTATCTATCTATCTATTTATCTATCTATCTATCTATCTATCTATCTATCTATCTATTCGTGTTCATATCTATCGATATCATCTTGCTTCTATCTATCTATCTATCTATCTATCTATCTATTCGTGTTCATATCTATCGATATCATCTTGCATCTATCTATCTATCTATCTATTCGTGTTCATATCTATCGATATCATCTTGCATCTATCTATCTATCTATCTATCTATCTATCTATCTATCTATCTATCTATCTATCTATCTATTCGTCTTCATATCTATCGATATAATCTTGCTTCTATCTCTCTATCTATCTATCTATCTATCTATCTATCTATCTATCTATCTATCTATCTGTCTATTCGTGTTCATATCTATCGATATCATCTTGTTTCTATCTATCTATCTATCTATCTATCTATCTATCTATCTATCTATCTATCTATCAATCTATCTCTGTGTGTTTCAATCTATTTTTAGCGTTTTTAGTTCTAAGTGACCGCTACTGTCTTGTTATTTCTTAAACCTATCTTAGTCAGACACAAGGCCATATTTCTTTGAGCAAAGCTGTTTAGGAGATAAACTCGCTGAACATTGTGCAGAGTGAGGCGTTTGAATATGTAAATCTGCTTATATCTTTCTAATCATATGTGTTTCATATTTACCTATCTGTCTGTTTGAAATAAATCGAAATTGCCTGATTATCTTCTCTCAAATTTCGTTTTTATACTTACCTATCAACCTAGAGCATATTGCAGATGTTATGATGCAAAGCCAATGTTTTCGCTGTTTAATTGACATTGGTCAGATAATATGACGCAGAATTCTAGATTTCTGCTGTAGCCAGTTAGGTTTGATAGATTTCAATAAAGATTTGACACGGCTACACAGTAGAAGAAACAAAGATTGATAGATAACACATATAGGAACGGATATAAGCAGACTTACATCTGTCTTGTTATATATGAAAAGGCTGGGATAGATATATAGACAGATAGATATAATGAAAAGACTGATATATATATTTATATATATATATATATATATATATATATATATATATATATATATATATATATATGGGTATAGAGAGAGAGAGAGCGAGAGTAAGAGAGGTAATGAACTGACTGAAATAGATAAATAGATAGGAACTGATATAAGCAGGATTACATCTGTCTAGCAATATATGAAAAACACGTGATAGATATGAATAGACTGAGACAGACTGACAGATAGATAGATAGATAGATAGATAGATAGATAGATGGTGAGTAGATAGAAAATGAACAGATAGGAAATGAACAGACATATATACATATATATATATATATATATATATATATATAGAGAGAGAGAGAGAGACAGAGACAGAGACAGAGAGAAAGGGAGAGAGAAAGCGAGTGAGTGCGATTGAGAGAGCGGTAATACACAGACTGAGATAGATATATAGATAGATAAATAGAAATGTATATATATATATATATATATATATATATATAAATGTATGTAGATAGATAGATAGATAGGTAAGTAGAGGGGTGTATTGAACTTATTTAGATAGATAGATAGATAGATAGATAGATAGATAGATAGATAGATAGATAGATAAACAGACATATATATATATATATATATATATATGAATGTATGTAGATAGATAGATAGGTAAGTAGAGGGGTGTATTGAACTTATTTAGATAGATAGATAGATAGACGTACATATAATTCGCTAAATACGAATAAACTGGGATAGAGAGATTCAAATTTCGGAAGAATACAAAGGCCGTGATTGCTTGCTGATGAGAAAATTAATCTTTTAATGATGATACATGAACCATTTGGGAACCATTTTGGATGATCGTGTTTCCCTTCACCAAAATTCACTAGATGTTCTTTTTCTTGATTATCGATCAATAGAGTTTACGCTGCTGGGCGCAAATCAAATTTTGTCCTGATTCTGCGACAACTTACAGAGATACAAACACACACAAACACACACAAACACACACACACACAAACATTGGCCTTGTGCCTCACAAAGTTATATTTCGTTTATTGTTATATACATACATAGATATACATTGTTTTAGTTTCATATTCTTATCATCTACTATGAGACTTGCCCCTGTGTAATCATGGCTCACGTATTCTGTTCTTTGTCGCTCTAGAAAATGTTGTCTTTTCACTATTGTCCCCCTATTACCCGTTCTGTAATCCATTTATACAAGATTGATACGTTGCTTACTCGCTGTTTCCCTCGCCTTCAATAAGTCCTGTGAGTGTCAAATTCACCAAACACTCTTTTCTCATAATGCGTCCTGGAAACGTCAACTTTCTCTTAATATTTCATTTTCCCTAAAGTTTTCTTGTTAATCACATGTTTGTCCTCAGCATCCGTTTATGGAAACATTTCTTGCCTCCAGTCTCCTTAAAGTTATCTCGGATACCTCGGGTGAGAAGATTGTCCACGGCCATATAAGAAAAAGTGCTTATTATATAGCAGTTTAGCGAACTTTTCCTGTTTCTTAATACTTTGGTTTAAGTGTGGTTAGAAAAATCATTTTTTAAATTACCGTAAAGATGCTTGACTGATTTTGACAACTCATGAAAGACAAAATAATTGGTAAACAGATCATTGCTGCCCTCACACAGTGAAGATGCGTAAGATAAAAATAACTGTTTTCTTTTTTTTCTTTTGTTGGTGGTTATTTTTATGTATTTTTAAATTGAATCTATTAATATAATAATTGAATTTATGCATGGGCATTTTGTCTCTAAAAGAATTACACATTTTATGACGATTAATTCTTATTAATATTATTTGTTGTATTGGTGACCCCGGGACAGAAAACTAATATCTTTATTGCTTTCTTTCGACATAAGAATTTATTACTTTTTTTTTTTTTTTTTTCTTTCTTTCTTTCTTTCTTTCTTTCTAATATAATTTATTATCTTTATTCATCTGTTTGTTCCTTTTTTCTCTTTACTTATTAACTTCATTTCTTGATTTGTATGTTTCTTTATTTCTTTCTTTCTTTCTTTCTTTCTTTCTTTCTTTCTTTTTTCGCCCTAATGTTATCTACTACCGTTCATTGTTTCTTTCTTTCTTTCTTTCTTTCTTTCTTTCTTTCTTTCTTTCTTTCTTTCGTTACTTTTTCGTCCTAATGTAATCTACTACCTTTCATTGTTTGTTTGTTTGTTTGTTTGTTTGTTTGTTTCTTTCTTTCTTTCTTTCTTTCTTTCTTTCTTTCTTCGCCCTAATGTTATCTATTACCTTTCTTTCTTTCTTTCTTTCTTTCTTTCTTTCTTTCTTTCTTTCTTTCTTTCTTTACGTATTACCTTCCTTTTCTTTCTTTCTTTTTTTTTTTTTTTCTTTCTTTGGCCCTAATGTAACTTATTACTATTCTTTTTTGTACGTGTGTTTGTTATTTGTTTGCTTTTTCTTTCTTTCTTTCTTTCTTTCTTTCTTTCTTTCTTTCTTTCTTTCTTTCTTTCTTTTGTAACTTATTTTTCTTTCTTTGTTCGTCTGTTTGTTCTTTCTTTTCTTTTTTCTTTCTTTCTTCTATCTTTGTGTGAAGTTCAGCGAGCTCGTCCCGCCAATGTGCTGATGTTGATTCTCACTGAGTGATCCTCTATCGTGACGAGGAACCTGTCTTGTTTCAACATTCCAACCACAATGAAATATAGCGAATTAGTTCAGAAGGTATAAAAAGGGCGTGTCAGGGATATTTGGGATTCCTAGCAAGAAAGCAAGAAAGCAAGCAAGGTGGAGAATGGTCATGGCGAGATCTCATCAAATATAGATTTTTACTTCACTGCAGAATATTAAACAATATTTATTAAATCGACACAAAAGACGAAAGAATCCAAAATTGGGGGAATCTCTATATATAAAAGGCAGGATGCGTGTGTGTGTGTGTGTGTGTGTGTGTGTGTGTGTAACGAATGTACGGCCGCAATTTTCGACGGATTTGCACCAAAATTTATTTGCACATGCTCCAAGTTAGCGGGAAGGCCAAGACCGACTTTGCATTTCCCAACTCCCATCGATAGTAAAAATAATCAATGTTTTCATGCTTCTACGGCAGTTTTCATGTAGTTTGCGGCCATTTTGTACTGGCCAGAGTGAGAGCCTATAGCTGGCTGCCACGAATAGGCAGGAAGATTCTATTGACCAGCATGAGAGCCAACAGGTGACTGACACGAATGTTAACTAGCATGCTACCATTCAAAAAATTCTATAGCTACATTCGTCGCAAGTGGGAAAAATTTAAATCTGCATGCCACTTTACTCCAATTGGCTCATTCACTTGCTTAAACTCAACGTTGATTTTGATTCCGCAGAACTGGGTTGGTTGTGAAAAAGTATTTGTTGTTAACATTCTTTTTTCATTTGTTTTTTTCAGTTACAAGTCCTTTTTGAAAGCTGATCGTTTTGTGTTCATTTTGTTTAGTTCATTTTTCATAACAGATTTAATGTTTAGTATAGAGCTTAGAAAAAATCGCAGTGTGAGATAGGCAAGAAGTAAGGCATGTAGCAACATCAGCACGGCAAAGGGAACTCCTTTAAAGGCAAGTAAGGGCAAGAATATTTTAAGTCAAGTGATAGCGATTGCTGTAGGAGTCGTACAATTTTTGAATCCAGCCCGGACAACGCCGGGCCATGCTGCTAGTTTTATTATAAGTTTAACTGGTTTTCTGGACAACCTTTCGTTTCTCGATAGGCAGCGATGAAGAAACTAATGTTCTTTTTTTTATGTTTTTGGTAGCCAATGAGTAAAGTTATTTAGAAGATGAACTAGCTAACCATTGTGTTAACATTCCACACAACTTCCCATCAATACTGGAAATATCTTATATAAACTATTGGATATGAGAAACTTGTTTTCTCGAAAAACGTTTTAAAAGAAAGATTTTATAAATTTCAACTGAAATTAGTACTGGCTCCTCAGTCAATGAATGCCAAATGTTTCCTTATAGGGAAACGGCTAATACTATCAATATTATTCCCATTACATAAGGTATTTGTGAGAATTTGAACTCGTCACGCTCATCCTACGCCGATAAACGCTACTCTACGCACACATCATACCACTGATACTACATTACAGTTAATATCAAAATACGGTGATTTTCGTCTTGGGTATGATGATAAACTACATCGGGCAGCAAGGTGTCTGATCGGGAGATTGGAGGTTTTGAGTAGTAGTTTTAACCACCTCTTAATTATTGTTGTCCCCAGGTCCATCATGACCCGGCGTGGTAGCACCTGTTAGGGTCCCAGGTATGGGCAAATAGTGACCCCCCACCAACAATAATCAACAGTACATTTTTATAATAAAATGAGCAACAATAGATTTTTATAGCAAAATGTTAATCAATACAACATTAATAAATATAAATATATATTTTTATAGTAAAATTACCAATGACCTATTTTAGGATCGAAAAACTACATATCTAAAAAAAGCGAACTTTATT